CAGTGATGGACAACAGCATGTGGTCCACATGCAGTTTACTTGTGGATTTTTGTGGTCTGGCTGCTCATTACCGAAAATATAAAATCTTATTTTCTATTTTATGCAAACGAATTAAATATTATGCCGCCCGCAAAATTTTACTCTATTTTTGAAAATGATTCTTTAAAAAGATTGCGCATCACTGTATCATAAACGATGTTTCTCTTCACAGATTACTGTGTAGTCTTTACAAAAAAGATTTAGCCGGTGATTTTTAATTATAGTGAATTTTTTAACATTGGCAAAGGAAACAAATTTTGTCATTATATTTTTAAATTTTTGTACAAATTATTGCTCTCTTATGCTCTCTAGAAAAGAAAATAGATGTAGAAGTTATTCGTTACCACAATATTTACAAAATAATTCAATGGTGAAACAATTTTAAGAAAATATTTCAATTTTTATTCACACAGGTACTCATTAGAATTTTTTAAAATTACTTATCGGATATATGTTTTAAATTTTGTATTAATCTAAATCAAAAGTATTGATATTTTAATTGGAAGACTCGAATACCATTATTTTATATAATTTCAAATTTAACTATATAATATTATATTGAATTTATATCGATTTTTTTATTAGTCCACCTGCATCGCTAAGTTATAACATTTTTGTAAAAGAAAAGGCATTTTTCTTTCGATAATTATACTTTGCATAGATTTAGTACAATTAAGATCTGAGTAATTAGTTTCAATGCCCTAATATAAACAATATATTCCAGTTGATATTCAACAATGATCCATGGGCTTTAATACTCAGAAAATATTTTGGCAGGAAAATCCATATACATTCGTTAATATAAGTTATATATTTAAAAAAGAAATCTTTAGCTATATATATACACACATGAGGAAGTGATACCAAATAAAGTGCCTCCATATGTAATAAGAAAAATATTTGATATTTTTATAAAAACAAACATTTTCGTGTTTAGTATATAAGTTTCATAATACATTTGCTCGAAGATATACTTCAACAAAATATGAGAATGCTCAATACTCCTCTTATTATTATTATTAATATTATTATTATATTTTATAGTCGGAACATTTCAAATTCATATGTTAAAAACAATTTCAGAAATGCGTCTAGAAATACCGAAGAATTATTGTAGCAAATGTATATTAAACTAATTAAATGTTGTAAGCCCTTTCAGGGTAGGTTCCTGTATTGTCAATTAAATATAATATTTTTTCGCGTATATATCTTGTATGTTCTTTATTCACAAAACTAATGATAAGACTTATACTAATTAAAAGTTACTAATATAAATTTTTAGAAATATTATTTCTAAAAATAATTATTTGGAGGTATTTTTATTTCATTGCACAAATATAAAATTACAATTCATATTAATGCAGTGTATTTATATGTGCAGTATATTTACATAATCAGTTGCAGAATCTTGTATAAATTACATATCTAAGTCAAAAATTTCCATAATATTCTAAAAATCACAGCTAATAAGAGCATCGTTAACGTCGCTACTCCATATTTTGATGGCTTTTCGTACGGTAATTTGGAAACAACTCCTCGCAGTACAGGAGACCTTAGTGCCGGAGACACACCTTTATTGATCGGTTCTCCTTTCATAGAGAACTTCGTTGCTTCTATAATTCTTACGTCGATCATTTTCCCCATGTACTCTTGTTTCAAGGGAATCAACACCTGTTCGTAAAATTTGTTATGGCCCACATAATGCTGCTTATCATGCGATACCTCCGTTACTAGCACCTTCTGTATTAATCCTACTTTGTGTCCATATGGTTCGTACGACTGGAAGAATTCTGACAACTTCTTGGTTCTTGTCTTCACTTGCTGTGTAGGTACTTTCGGCATTCTGGCGGCGGGCGTGCCGGGTCGAGAGAAGAACTGATTGATAAAGAGGCTTGGAAATTTATACTTTTGACAAAGTGTCATCGTCTCCTCAAAATCCATCTCCGTTTCCGTGGGAAAACCGCAAATAATGTCTGTGACGATAGTCAAACCCGGTACCCGCTCGCTCAGAAAGTTTACTACATGCTCGAACTCGGCACGCGTATACTCCCGCTTCATGTCAGCTAGTACCTGATCACTGCCGGATTGTACCGGGATATGCAAGAAACTATAGACCTTAGAATGCTGAAAGATCTTGGCCATTTCATCCAGATGTTCCAAAATATATGGTGGATTAGTCATACCGACACGCATCATGCAACCATCAGGGATCACATCTACTAATTGCCTCAGCAGCTTTGGCAAGCTAGTGCCAATGTCTCTGCCATAGGCACCTGTATCTTCCGACGTGAGCCACAACTCACATACACCCTCTTCGAAAGCTTGCTTGGCTCGTTCGATTATCTTTTCTGGAGGATAGCTACCCAGTTCACCTCGTGCATGTTTTGTCTTGCAGTAGGTGCATTGATTCAAGCAGCCTGTGTTAATGGCTATAATCTCGATAAGTGGGTTCCGACGTACCTTTGGAAGATTCAATGAAGCACCGCCTGTTTTCTTACCAAAATCCTTCTTCTGTTGTAAGAACCTAACTGTATTTCCTTTTAAAGTTTCTTCTACAACTTCTACCACTCGATCGATTTGTTGTACTCCAATCACACTCAACCCTTGAAGAAAGGAAGATTTTGGAGCACCTTGTGGTACACATCTACAAGATGCAAATAAAATGTTTGTTTAGAATTTTAAGATTTGCTCTGAATAAATTAAAAATTAGAAAGTTCACTGTACTACTAAAATTCTATACATTAATGTTTAATGAAAACCAAACATCAAATAATAGAATTTGTAAATAATGATATTATATTATAATATATTATTAAATCATTGTTTCATCATTGCAGTTGTATAATTACATACCCAGCAACAACAACATGCTTGCCAATTTTTATTCCATACTCTATTTCATTCCTAAATTGATCTTCTGCAGGACTTTTTACAGTACAAGAGTTCAGAAGCCACAAATCCGCTTTTAGTTTATTCTCGGTCAAATTATAACCATACGACGCCAATTGACCAGCCATATATTCAGTGTCCGAACTGTTGTGCGTGCATCCCCATGTTTTCACATAAATCGTTTGCGTGCCGGGTATTATGCTAGATAAAACAGACGGCTGCAATACTTCCTCCTGCAGCTGCTTCCTTTGTTTTGGTCGTATTGTGATATGTTTCCGCGAACTATATCTCTCCTTGGGCGTTATGTCTTGGGATGCAATTAAATCCTCAATGTCCTCGATAATTTCCTCGCATGGAGCAGGCATGTTTCTTAAGAATAAAAATTATTCCTAAGGAGTTGTCCACTGTACTCGTAAAGCGTGTCACCTTAACAATTTGAGGTTAAGTGCACGTGTGTTGAATTGACACATCCAATGTAAATTGTCGTTGAAATCCTCGGGAAATTGTAACAAATAACAAGAATCTCATAGTATTAATTGTTCAGCTATTATTTATACCTATTTTAATTGTAAATGTACAGGTTTTTGAGAATATAATTAAAACTAATTAAGGATAGGTTATATGAAAGTTTCATTACATAAGGTGCCATCTATAGATATCTTCGTTTATTAGAAATTTAAAAAGTTGAGATTTTATCGTTAATTGATAAAATAAGTATATCAAACTCGATCTCTAGGAATTTTTTAAAATTGATTGTTTAAAATTTTGAACACACACACAGTTAGTGCAATGACTATATTTGCTTCATATTTTACTAATTTCAAGAATACAAATTTCTGAGATTACTAAAATATCAATGATCGGAAAGTATACTATAATAATAATTTTCACTTATAGAACAGAATTATAATATTTTTGGAATCAACTGATATCTAATTCTCAATCAATGTAAATTAAATTAATCTTGGTTTAATTTACTTCTATTTGTTTTAATTTCATTATTAAATGAATAAAGTTATAAAAAATAAACATTTTGTTAAACTAAAAGATTAAATAAGTTACATTTTTGTTAAATTGATAGAAATAAACAAAAAAACTTCTTAAAATTTCAAAAATATTTTATGAAATTATTAGAAAGATATCAATAAGACATTTTGAGTTACTTTATCATCAATTTATAATACATTTTATTTCAGATTGCTTTTAGACACATACAATATGTAATATTTAAATGTCAATTTTTATATTAATGTTTATGTTATTTTTATTTGCATTTAATTACAATGAATAAAACGATAATTCATCAAAAAGTCACTCATACTCTTGTCTACAGAATCGAGCGATAAGACCATTTTTGTTTAAAATTATTGAATCGAATCAATTAAAATATATATAATAATTAAATTTAAACAGAAATAAGAACTATTCACAGTAAAATTAGTATATTATATTTATATTGTATATTTATTATAGTATTTATATTGCGATATATTTTAAAAGAATATATTTATAATTAATATTATATAAATTTCTTTATATTATACCAGTATTATTATATGGAAGAACAATATTATTTTACAAGTATGACCACGATTATTGCTCGGAAGGCTATCTCTACAATAAGATACTTAAACTTTAGATCATTTTTAATAGAAAATAATGAAAAGAATATATTTATTATTTGTAAAAAAAAAATTATTATAAAAAAAAATTTTAATATTAAATATATAAAACAAATTATTATAGTCTTCCTGAAAAATTATCACGCACACACACAAGATCTGATATAAGATTTTATATAACTTACATAAAAATCTATGTTGGTAAAAAAAACAAAGAACATTATCCGTTTAGTTATGAAGTATTTAACTATTGATCAACACATTTCAAACAAAAGATTCAGAAAAACAGAAACATTTTAAACACGAACAGGTCATTTCTTATAATTGTTCTTGTTTAGAGTCGTTGTCCGTGACGGATGTGTCTTGTTTTGAATCGATCGACTTTCGTACTTGTAGGATCAGGATAAGTGGATTAGTTCGTCGGGGACCACCATTGAGTTGAGACAGAAAAGATAACAGTTTCCTATCCATTTGCTTGTCCTATTAATTTTTATATTGTTAGATTTTGACTTTTAGGCACAAGTCAATTCTGGCATAACGAAATATTTGGATTAAGCAGGTTTGATTTATTTTTCTTTTATATTCAATAAATAATTTTAATTAAAAATTGTTTGAGAATAGAATATATACGTTCGATTACAGATACAATAGATATATACCGCGTATTTCTTGATCGTAAAATTAGCATTTGTGTTCCATTAGAAAATATTCATAATATTTCGCAATGTATTGAATCATATATCAGATTCTTTTTTTAACTAAATATGAGAGAGAGAGAGAGGGGGGGGGGAGAGAATTACGAATCAAGCTCGCTTTTTGAAAATTCTAAATTAATACTCATAGCTTCATAAAAATGTGCAATCTATATTTATTATGTTCACGTACATGTTTAATATAGTCTTGTATTATGACCAAAGCAACAATTAAGTGCCTCTATAGTTATATTTTTATTAAATAATTTTAATACATATCTATAAAGCTTTTATATACTGTTATATAACTATTAATAAAATTATTGTTGTTCAATACTGTATGCCTGGTATATATAATTTATATTAATTATTATTTAGAGTATATGTATATACATATATGTATATACATATGTGTGTGTGTGTGGGTGTGTGTGTGTATTGGATTAATGACGATGCTTATTTACGAAATAATTATTTATTTGCTTTATATAAAATAATTGTTTTTTTAATAATTAATCTGTTTGTGTATATAGTCATTATGTGGAGGATAATAGCGTTTAGCATTGTGATCGTGGGCTTAGCTGCTGGCAAGGTCAGCTATGAGGATTATAAAGTTTTCAGCATTTACCCGACAACTCAAAGGCAACACGAATTATTGAGAATGAACATAAGACAAGTAAATAAATCATTTAGACAAAAATAAAAATACGAACAATTTATACATATACAGATTTTTTTGTTTAATAAATCAGTATTAAATTAATTAATATTAATTAACATTCAAAATAATAACTTTGTGCATTTTATATTAGCCAAGATAAATAAAATTAATTTGCTAGATATCTAAAATAACTTACAAATAAAATGTCACAAAATTAAGAATAGAACAAAGAAATACATAGATAATATTTTATCAATTAATTTAAGATTAAATTAAACGAAATTGTGAATTTGAAACCTTATTTACAGTTTAACTACTGGTTCTGGAAAGAACCAAGTTGGATAGACAAAGAAGTTCAACTTATGATACCTCCACACGATCTCGGCACTTTTTATGAAATTGCAAACATTATCGGGATAACCTATAAACTCAAAATTAACAATGTCCAAAAACTAATCGACAATACGTTTACAAAGCATCAATCGAAGGGCTTTGATTTTCATAGCTATCATACTCTTCAAGAAATTTACGATGATCTGGAAGATCTAGCTAAGAAGTATCCCAAAGTAGAGGTCGTCGCGCCCGGCGAAACATACGAAGGACGTTATATCAAGGGTGTTGAGATAATTAATAATGTAGAATTTCCTGGAATCTTTATTGAAGGCGGTATACATGCCAAGGAATGGATTTCTCCGGCAACTGTCATGTATATTTTGCACCAATTATTGACTAGTGAAGATCAGAAAGTGAAATCTGTAGCTAACAATTTTAATTGGTTTATTTTCCCAGTATTTAATCCTGATGGATATGAGTTTACATTTAATAACACTCATGGGGTAAGATTTTTTTACACAACATTATATAATATTATTTAATTACAAATTACTTAATTACAAATTAAGATTATGTACAGAAGTAAGCCTTCTTAATGATTTTTAGGACCGATTATGGAAAAAATCTCGCAAACCGTTCAATTCTAGCTGTATTGGAGCAGATCTCAATAGGAACTGGGGTTTTGGATGGTATAGTAAGTATTTATTCAGTGTGAAAAAGCAGATTATAATAAATGATAGAAAAAAGTTATCAACAATCAAGATTATTTTGGAGACTTGAGAAGCTTATAATAATATAATATTCATGATTCATTCGATGTAACATTGTAATTCTATGTTCTCAGATGTTAGTAGGAAAGATCCTTGCAGTGATATTTACCCCGGAAATAAACCATACTCAGAAAAAGAGATAAAAACTATGGCCCGATACATACGCAATAGAAAACATCATTTCTTCGCATATGTCGCGTTCCAAAGTTACGGCCAACTATTGACGTTTCCTTATGGTTATACGAAGGAACGAATCTCCAACTATGATCGCTTGGTAAAACATTTTATTAGTAATGAAATATTGTCTTTGAAATATATGTTTGTGATAGAAAGGAAATATTGTTTGAAAAGATTTTTCATGGCTGTATATGACTTTTTGTATAAATATATATTCAAGTTATTCACTTTTTAATAACTTATAGCGCTAATTATCTTTCCATTTTTTTAATGTAATAATAAATATGTTAGGGACTAATGTATAAATATTTGCAATTTCAGTATCAGCTTGGCAAGAGAGTAATCGACGTTCTTAAACAAAGACATAATACTAAATATGAGATCGGAGCTATTGGCGAGTTCTATTACGGTTTGTAAACACTTTAATTTATACATCTCTAACAAATAATTTATTGCGTTTAAAAATCATTTTATATACTAGTTTCTTCATAATAATATTGATAAAAATAACTTTACAATAATGTTGTATTTTTTCTTTATGTACAAGATATTTCAGAACTTCAAAGACGAACTTAAGATTGTAGATGTCATCAAAAGGAAAGTTTTTGTTAAGGAGTTTGTGTCCTCTGACGCATTTTTAAAACATTATGTGTACTGGTTTGAATTAGTTATGAGAGATACAGAATCGATTGCGCGGCAGCATATAGTTATATATAATTATATAGTCCGCAAATTTTTACTTTATTTGTCTTTTTGCAAAAAGAAAATTAGAAGACATAAACTTGTCGGATGTCATATATGATCAGATAAATAGCTTTTTATAAATATACGTCAGAGGATCCAGATTCTTTAACAAAAGTTGATTCTTTTGATTGAGATCTATCATTCCCCGAAGTTTGTGTTTGAGATTCTCAAAAATGTGTAAATGTAAAATGAACATATATTTGTTATTTTATTTTATTAAATTAAATTGAAACGATTGTAATTAATAAATACATGTATATTTTCTTATAAATTTATAACTAATATAAAATATAATCATTCCTAGATTTGCAGGGCGGTTCTAGTACAGATTACGTGGCAGGTTTTCTCAATAAAACTATCGTCTATCTCTACAAATTGCGCGATATAAATGATTACGGCTTCTTGTTACCACCTGAGTATATCATCCCGACTGGAGAGGAGACTCTAGATTCTCTTGTAGCTATGATTAACTTCTCAATTTTATTTGGCTATGATTTATGATTAAATTTCTATAATTTCTTATCGTCGATTAAATACTTTTATTTGATAAATAACAAATATTACATTTCCATGTAATATATCAATAAATAATGAAAAATAGATTTTAATTAATAGCTATAGTCACTACTAAACTATTAATTTTCTATGCTTTCGTCATTATTAGTAAAATTATAGTTATTTTAAAAAGATTCGATCTATTTTTCATAATATTGCTTTTTGACATTTTTCATCAGAATTTGTTATTAATTTATAATTCTCAAAATTTATTTATTTTATATATTATATATAGGTAATATAAGTTGTGAATTAAAATCATTGATGTGTATAAAATCATAAATGAATTTAAAATTATGTTTATTTGATTTTTCAATATAATATTATAATTATATTTTACTTAATTGAAATATACAATTTAATGTCGTATATAATTTATATTCTGAAAAGTATCAACATTTGTAACGTGACAATAAATATTATACATATACCTATTTTCTCGAAAGTTTTTTCTATTTTTCCATTTTTTATGAATAAAACTGAAAATATAAAATCTATTATTGATGACATCAATTTTATTGAATTTTTATTTGGACATTTATTCGTGTTACAAGTATTCTATTTGATACGCATAGTAAAGAGAACAGCGATAAAGAATAACTTGTATAAATAAATTTACATCTTTTTATATTGACAAAAGTACAAAGAACTTTTTTTTACTCATTATACATTATTTAATTGTTGACCTTATTAATTTTAAAGGTTTTGGAAAAATGAGACTATTTTAAAGACAAACAGAGATTATTCATAAAAATATTTTTAAAGATAATTCTTTTTGCAATAAAGATTAATTATTTATAGATTTTAATATTATTAAGATTATTCTAAAATGTGTTAAGAATATTGAATTGTTAAATTGCTAATCAATTTAACTCGTGATATATTACTGCGGTAATTTAGTAGAGTTTGCGTTTCAAGACTTGAATCTTTTCGATAGAAAACTTAAAATATCTGTGGTCTGAGTATTGAATACGTCCCATCCTTTGTCGTGAGCAAATTCTCACCACTTTTTAACACGCTTTTGATATTGCTTTAGAGTTGATTCCGTGATTGACTCTACTATCGTATTTAAAGAGTCCTCCCTAACATCTTTCTTTAACATTGTTGATATAACAATTTCCCTGCCACCAGGAAAAGGTGGGATGCCATCGGATGAATCTCGTCTCTGTAAGGAGACAATAAAATGTAACAGAATTACATGCTTACCTAAATAAAAATATATAAGAATCATCATTTTTAAGAGAATATTCTATTTATATATAAAATAAAGATAGATTAGTAATAAATCTTTGTTTAGTAATAATATTATATAATTGATTAGTAATATCATATAATTGATTAGCAATAAAGTTTTGTTTCAAAGAGGAAACGTTTCCTACGTAAATAGGGATTATTTAATATCTAATTTCTACAAAATTAATTTATAAAGAATTGCAAATTTCTTTCCTTCTGTCCTTCTTTCTCTCTATAAGATAGATTTCTTCCCTCTTTCTTTCTGTTTGATGATGTATCGAGAATAAATTTAAATCTAAAAATAAATTTAGTTTATATAGATAGAAATAAATGTAAAAAGTTCCTTAAAATTTTGAAATATTTTATTTTATATTTTCCTCCCGATTTATGAGAAGTCTCTAAAAGATTTTATTTAATGCTTTTAAATATAAGTAATTTTTCATTATCTGCAAACAAACAGATGATATAATTATTTTTTTATAAAGTTATTATTACACTAATTTATATTGCAATCGCGAAATATGAGAGCTATCTGATAATTTATCAATTTTATTGCATTTCCATTTTTTGCATATTTTTTTATATGCATATTATATATATATATAAGTAAAGAAATATTGGACAAAACAAAAAAAAGAATTATATATTATTTTTAAATCCGCATAAAATCTAATATAATTTGCATAATCTACATATATGTATATATATATATATATAATATATAAATAAATCTACATTCATTTATACTGACAAAAAGACAACTAAAATTGGCCGTTATACTGTATAACTGTTAGACATATATTTTAGTACTGAAGATTTCTAGAAAATAAAAGTATTTGAATTGAACGATGACATAAATATGAGTCACAAGACATAAATAAAGTTATTCACATAAACATTTTTTTGGGATATTGTCTTTGACTGACATGTATTCTTCTAATAGGCTTATATACTTGTATGATTAGATCGTTGGAGACCACATTTGAGTTCCGAGGAGAAGATAACAGTTTTCTCTATTTGCTTTTGATTTAGCTAAATTGTGATTTACAGGTTGTGCATACACATGTGAGTTATTTCTAACATAGTGCAATATTTAGAACAGGTTTGATTTATTTTACTTTGAATCTTATATTAACAATTATATATATTATTGTAAATAATAGTAAAAATTATATAATTTTTTTAATTTTATATACATATATATACATAATATATATATATATATATAGTATATATACCAGACA